GCCCCCCTTGTCTGGTTGCCTACACAGCTCTGTCTCTTTCATTGTGCATTGGCTCAGGTGAAGTGGGCCTTAAGGGTGCTGGGGCAGCTGCTGCTCAGACACAGTCATGTGACTCAGCTGGCATGTGGAGAGGTCAGAAAGCCGCTTGAGGGGCCTTGGTGCTGTGTGCAGCCCCCTCGCTAATTCTCCCTAGACTTCTGCGAGAGGGCTGACCACACACTTGACTGATGAGGTGGACGAGACTCAGAGAGGTTGAGTGAGTTGCCCATAAGTAAATTAAGTGGTACTGCTGGCATTTGAAAGCAGCCCCCAGGCTGGTCCCTGGACCTAAGAAGCCATGAGTTTGATTTCCATCCTCATCCCCACCCTACCCCCTCCCTGGTTCCAGAGTGACCCCCCTCCCAGTGGTCATCTTCCTGGCAGACATCCTGCTCAGGACAATCTGCCTGCTCAGGGTTTAACATCCAGTAACATCTGGGACTGACACCCTCAGTCATTGCCAGGGTGGTGGTGTCTCCAGCCCCCCCAGAGAACATAATGAGTGAGGATGAGGGCATCAGGGTAGAACACCCAGGCCGAGTGATCTGTTGCCTGGGAAGCTACCATCACCAGCTGGCTCCAGCCCCACAAAAGGCCCTAGTTGTCCACTGTCCTTACCTGCAGGGCCTGGGAAGCCTCCTGGGTGGCCTGCTGGAGTCAGGGGTCCAAGTAGGTGAGAGAGATACCCACAGAGCTTGTCTATCTCAGAGGAGATTCTCAGAGGCACCAGGTATGCGCCAGGCATGGCCAGCTCCGTCTGGGCTTCTGGCTTTTAGTCTGAAGATTCCCCAGGAGTTTGAAGACCTGGTATCAGGCAGAGCTGGCTGGGAATGGCGATCCTCATGCTTGCAAGAGCTGGAGGAGTCACCTAGGGCTGCTCATTGCTGCTGCCTAGGTGAGGCACTACCTCACCTGAGGAAGAGCCAGAGATCAGGACTTCAGGCTGCTCAGGAGAGAGTCCTTGGGGCATGCAGGTGTCTGCTGTAGGACAAAGTCTTCAAAGTAGGTGAGGACCTCCTCATTGTCCAAGAGCATGCAGGCAAGGGGCTGAGGGCCAACAGCGGAGGCTAAGACCTCAGACAGGCTCAGAGCCCTCAGCCCTCTTGCCTGACCCAAGGACCTGCTTGCCTGTGTTTCTAAGAGAGGCCTTACAGACAACTCTGGCCAGAAAGCTCAAACGTTAACTGCTTGGCTTCCTCCTCACTGGCAGCCTGCGTCAGTGGAAACTGTCTCAGAGATGTCTGCATAGCCCTGCCTTCCCAGAATGGTGTGAAGCATGTCTGGGAAGCCAAGAGCTCACCCAGTAGGTGAAGCTCTCAGGGTACATCTGCAATACACAGGGGTGCTTACTAGAGGGGGAGAGACCTACAACAGGGGCTGAGAGGACCCAGGTCAGCAGGACCAAGGGCTGCTGCCGAGGGACATCAACAGCTCGTGTGTGGGCATCTGGCCGAGGGGATCCCGGCCCATGAACTGCCTACCTTTTGTTCCATCCTACAGAAGGGTACACAGGAGCTCAAAGACAAAATAGGAGCTTCTAAGGTCACGCAGCAAGGCTGACTGATACTGTGTGATCCAGCTTTCGGGCTCTGACGAAACAGCAGCTACAGTCAACTCAAAGGAGGACAGGCTTATTCTGGTAGATGGCTGCAGTTCACAGCAGGCTGACTCCATTGTCTCTGGGCCAGTGAAGGGGCAGAACATCCTGGTGCATGGGTGCTCGCCTCATGGTGCATAGGCGTGGGGCCAGGTGGGGTAGGGTGGGGGCTGGGAGCAAAGTGTACCTTTCAAAGCCATGTCTCCAGTGACCCAGTTTCTCCAACAAGGCCCCATCTTCTAACAGCTCATGAAGTTGGTTGGAGCCTTCCTGATCCGGCCATCTAAGTCCAACCTCTGTACAAATGCTGCCCTGGGGACCACGCCTTCAACATATGCATCTTCGGAGGGACAGGGATACCCAGGGTCATACTCTGGAGCTTTGAATTTGGTGGCAATTGCATTATTCACACCTTGTGGGCCTTCCCACAAGTGACTGGTTTAGTGAGAACCTGCTTTCTCCGCAGGGTGAGCAGCTTTGGGTGAACATTGGGCTGGGCTAGGGAGTGGTTAAGGGGTCTTCAGAATTACTACTGGGACAACTTAACAACATGAACCTTTATTGTTTTGGCCTTAGTAGGGGGTCCTGAGGCCCAGAGATGGGAGGGCTCCTGCTGAAGATGAGCTGATGGCTGGAACAGAGAAGCCTGGCTCTGGAACCTATTATCCTCAAGTGTGCATGACATGGGAGGAACCCGCTTCTCTCAGAATGGAACTGTTTTCAGTTTTCTCTGAAATTCCTTTGGAGAGGCTCTTCTTTGTTCTGGATTAGGAACCAATGAGAGCAGAGTGGGGTTTTCATAGCCTCTGTTCCAATGGAAGAATGAAGCCCAGAAAGACAACACACCTGCCTATTCTTGAACTTGCTGGATCTACCCATGCCTGAAGTTAGCATTATCACTAGAACAATTGAACTGTATGCACCAATAAGTACTTTTCCTGCTTAAAAACATCCAGATTGGGTTTCTATCTCTTGCAATTGAGTAACAGGGGAGGGTGATGGGGCTCAGAGCCTACAAAGAGGCACAACATCCCTTTCAAGATTTCCCCTAAGCCACCCTACGGTGGGTGGTGGTGGTGGGCTAGGTGCCACCAGCTGTGGACCAGAGAGACAGGCAGCCCCTGTCCTCCAGGAGACTAGCTGATGGGATGGTCAGCCATGGGTGGTTGAGAGTGTGGCAAGGGTGCCCAGAGCTCTGCAGCCCTGGCATACCTGGAGATGTGCTGGGTAGGAGTGGCTGCAGCACAGTGCTAGATGTCCAGGTGTTCCAGCCCCCAGGTCTTCCCTGGACAGTGGATCCTTGACTCGGGATGTACAGCATGGGGTCAGCAGAGCAGAGGTCAGGACAGAAGATTCACCCCTCCCATGACGAAGCTGCTGTTCCTCCCACTGCTCATGCCCAGGCTCTTATACTCGAGTGTGCAATACCTGATGTGCGTACCAGAAGGACTTGGTGGGGATGTGGGCTCAAAGTGTGAGTGGCACTAGTGTGACAGGGAAGCTGCCTGAACAAGTGGCATAGTAGCACAGGCAGTAGAGGAGTGATGATGCGATGCAGAAGTGTATGTCTGGGGCTGTCCCTAGGAATCACGTGTGGTAGACTCCATGTATGTACCTGCCTGCAGGTCTGGCAGGAGAGACACTGGATGTCCCATGTGGTGGCTGAGGACAGTCATACTTTATATTTACCCCTTCACCATCTTGGCTGGTGCTTGCTGGCTGGTGCAGTGGACGCTGTTGGTGCCTTGTCCAGAGACCTTGGAAATCATGGCCTGGTGCTGCTGACCTGGCTCATGCCTCCACCACAATGGCTTCGTCTTCATCTTCAGCCGCTGCAGCTCCCCCACTCTGCCCGTGGAAGCCCTTGAGGTGAGAGGCTCACTTGGCTTGCACAGGGGTAAGAACTAATGTTGTCCAAAAGCCAAAAGCCTCCGAGGACCACTGACAGCTGGTATAGGAATAGTCTATCTCCCACACCCTTAGGAAGGCTGATTTGAGTGTAACTGACCCTGTCTCTGAGTCACCAGTGGGCTAGATCATGGTGACCCTCAGTGGCGACCTGCTTGATGATATACCTGGGGGGTTGCTTCCCCTCCTACTGCTGAGATCAGCTTGCTAAGCAGCCTATCATGTCCACATCTGGTCCCAGCATCTGGCCCTGCCCCTCGTGCTCTGCTGTGGCTTCATCTCCTGTTTTCTTGGGGCTCTGGTACCAGGGAATATTCTCTTCAGTCCTTACCCTCAGGCCCTTGGCAGAGAGGAGGCTGGCATCTCTGCAGGAATGTGCAGAGGGCCTTGCCTGTGGTGCCTTCTGTGGACATTCTGCAGCATAGGGCATGCCATAGATGAGGAAACAGGAGGGATCGAGGGCCCAGTGACCCCAAGGACCTAGGGAGCCTGTGCTTTGGGACAGTCCGAGGCTGGATCCCATCACCACGAAGGCTACAACCTTCATCTTAGGAGGAGGAGCCTTGGAACACGGAGGTACCTGAGCCATGTGTAGCAGAGTTGAGAACAGAAGAGGGTTATTCTACATACGTGGAAGAGGTGGGGCAGAGGTGTCAAGCTGTGCCCAGAAAGAGTGGTTGGAGGACAGGCATTCGTCCTGCAAATGTAGTGCTTGAATAGGTTCGGCCTCAAGGGGCACCTTGTGTGAAAGACAAGCCTTCACTAGAGCGGCCCATCTTGTTTACAGCTATGCATGTCGGTGGGCAGTGGTTTCCAAGTGGGCCCCCAAAGGGGTTTCCACGGATTCAGTGGCGTGTGGTTCCCAAGGACAGTGGCAGCAGGTAGCCAGCAGGTGGCAGTGTGGGCCCAGAGTGCGGGAAGCAGCTCAGGACGCTGTCCTCCATCTCTCCAGCCAGAACAGGACTTGGGATGGTATCAGCAGTCAAGGTCACTCACTGTCTTACAGACCACACAGAAAGGAAGGCAAGGATTTTCAGAGTGTGAGTAAACAACTCATGTCAGTCTAATTAAAATTCCTCCTCTCTCCTGGGAGTATATGCCATTTGGTGATGAAAGCCAACTGTTGCCGAAGGAAAAATGTGTGGTCCCCAGTGTTCCCGGAGTTAAGTCCTGAAGTTGATGGCCCAAGTGATGTTTACACCCCCCAAGTCTCAGAGAAAGGACTCCATGTCTCAGCGAGGTCCAAAAGCAAAGCAGGAGTTCCTCCTGTACGTCTCGCCTCACCCAACTAGCCACTCCAGCAAGAAGGTGACACTTCAGGGACTCAAAATCCTGAGATGTCATGGGCCTGGAATGCCAGCTGAGGGGACCCATAGGCTCAGGTTTCTGTCCCAGGAGCCGCGCAGTCTTGAAAGTGTTACTTCTTGCTACATTTTTATTGATATATTTATTTTGAACACAGAAAAGATACATTGTTGCTTATTCAGCGCCTAGTTGGGGAACAAGAAAAGCGGCTCAGCTCCGCCCTGCAAACGCACGCTGCTGAGTAGGCAGGGAGTTTTATCTTCCCCAGCACTCTAGAGTCGCACACACAGGATGCAACTCCTGAAAGAGACTCATCCCTGCGGTGCATTTTAAAGGCTATACAGTACAACAGACGGATGTTTTTGCCTAGAAAACAGTACACCACAAAGGTGGACAGAACTGCTTGTAAACAATGTCCCTCCCCCAGCTGTGGTCCGGGATTCCAACACGCAGGATGTTACAGATCCTCCTGGTGGACTCCTTCCAGCTCTGCACCAGAAGAAATGCTATTTCTACAGAAAATGAAATTCAAGATCACCAATCTTACCACCCCTCTGCTTAAGAAAGGGATTACTGAATTGTCTTAGCCCTTCATTGGAGGAATGAAATATGAGTGTAGGGAGGAAGGGGAGCTCGCTGTTTAAGGGGTGACAAAGGGGGAGTAGGAGGGAGCCAGGGTTGCTTGCTCCCTGCCGACAGTGATGCTGGCAGGGACACTCTTGAGAGATGCCTGGCCATCACCCCTGGCAGCCTGGGTCTTCAGGATTTGCCATTTCCTACATGGTCTCTGATGGGGACTGCTGGAGTTCACAGGCCAAGCTCTGAGCTGTTCCTGGCCAGGCTGACCTCACATCCCCTGTTGTGGGAGGACCCTGGCAGCAAAGCTAAGCTGCTGGTCCTCTGGAAGTGGCATGATGGTTTTTATGGCACTCAAGTCCCCTTTAGTTTCTCTCTGCAAACACCCTGGAGGGTCAAGGCCAGAATGCCTGACTCACTGTCCCCAGCTGTAACTGCCACCCAGGTTGACAGCGCCAGCTCCCAGGGGGTGGCTCCAGTCCATGTGAGCTCAGCCCCTGTGGCTGGCTGGGTACGCACTGCCAAGGCCCCTTTTCTACCTCGGCCCCCACAGCCCTTTGCTGAGGCTACTTGGGTACCAGTGCTGGCCTTATCTTCTCTGAAGACTGTTCCAGGCAGTGCTCAGACTGACATGGGAACCACCGTCATCCAGTCCTCCACCGCATGCCCACCCAGGGCCCTGACCACCCACTGTAGCTTGGGGTGGGCTACTGCGATAACTCCACTAGCACCACCAGCCTGAGGGCATGGGTGAGGGAGGGGCCTGGTGGGCTCTCTCCACCCCATGTCCCTGTGCCCCCAGACCTGTGCCCCCACCCCATAGGAGGCAGGGAGGGGATGTTGTGGCTCTTCTGCCTTGCAATTGAGAGATAGGCACAGCGCACAGCAGGACCTCATGAGCCTACCCCACCTCCCAGAGGCAAGCCCTGGGGTAGGGGGTCAGGGCAGGTGGTTGACCTGGCTGATCAAGCAGTTTCTGGAGGCAGAATCAGAATTTGGGCCAATGTTCCAGGTGAGGCCAGGGGAGAAGGGGAGAAAGCCTGGTTTCTGCTTCACTCTTCTGCCCAGCGCTATCCACAGAGGCCCAACCACCAAGTCCGGGAGGTGGGGGCAGGAGGCTGAGAGACCTTTATTTTTAATGAAACCTTTGCAGGTAGGTTTTGTGTGGGTGTGGGGGCCTGTGTATACACATGTCCACACTCACGTGGGCCATGTCTTTGTGTGCGCACATGGGGTGTGTCAGTGTGTGTGGGTGTGTGATTATGTAGACGTGTATGCAGGAGTCCAGTGTGCCTGTGTGTGTGCGCACGCGCCCAAATATGCCTGAAAGATGTGGCTCAGCTTGGAGGGACCAACAGGACCTGGGTGGGCTGAATCACTCACACAGTTCGCTCAGGGCCTGAGGCTGGGGCCCGAGCAGGGCTGGACGAGCCCTGGGAGTTCCTCGGCCCTGGTTCTGGTCCTGGCAGCAGCAGGAGGCCTGCCGGGGAGCCAGCTCCACACACAGCCTCGTAGGTGGGCAGCGTGTCCATGGAGATGGTGCGGAGGCCGCTCTGGGCCCTGGTCCTCTGCTCCGGCTGGTATCCGCTGAGGCTGGGACCACTGTTCAAGTTGAGGGTGCCATTCAGGGTGGGGCAGGAGTCGGTGAGTGAGTAGGGAGGTGGCGCATCCGTGGGGACATAGAGCTGAGTGGCCCCTGGCCCCACACACTCCTCGTAGCTATAAAAGAAGAAGTTGTCTCAGGGCTCTTCAAATCCAGGTCTTAGGGGTGTGTGTGTGTGTGTGTGTGTTCCCTGTCCCATTTGCAGTGATGAGCTGTCCAAGCTGTGGAGGGCGGGGGATCCATGTTAGCTCCATGAGCCCCACTGCTCTCTGGGGAGGGGCGCCCCTACAACCTAGATCTGGGCTCAAGACTCAGTCTTCACCATCTTTGAGAACTCATTCTCTGGATCTCAGGTTTCTCAGCACTGGAGCAGCCTTTGCTGGGGAGCTCTCCCAAAGGGGTACTCTGGGGGATAGGGCTGGGGAGGAAGTGCTCAAATCATTTGTAGGTGGGGAACGAGTCCCTGGGGTCCCTCTCAGCTGACAGGGGCAGACAGACAGTTCCTAGGAGAGCAGAGGATGATGCTCTCTCTAGGGCCTGGTGGGTCTTCAGGTAGAGAAGGGATATGGAGTAACCCCCTCCCTGCTTCCGCACTATTGATGGTTGGCCTCCCAGTGGTTGGAACCTGAGATACTCCCCAAATCTGAGCACCCCAGACAGGCCCATGAGTGTTCTATGATGTGATATAGGCTTTAGGGGCTCATGCTAAGGGCTAGAGCCCGGATTCCCCACCCTGGGAGCTGGAATTTAGTGTTCAGCAAACTCCCTGTTCTCCTCCTCCTCATCCCCCCCCCCCTCCTCCTCCTCCTCCTCCTCCCTCCTCTGGACCTCCTCCTCCTCTTCCCCCTCCTCTTCCCCCTCCTCTTCCTCCTCCTCCTCCTCTCACTGCTATCACTGGGGTCTCTGGAAACAGGGGCCATGGACAGAACTCCCTCCTCCAGGTCCCACAATCCATCACCTTTCTGTAAAACACAAGGAGCTACTCTTTACTTACTTTTTCCGGGATTGAGAGAGGACGGTGTGACTGTCTGGGAGTCGGGCTGAGGGTTGGACAGAAGCCCTGTAGGTCCTGAGGCAGTCTTCACAATGCCCCTGCACATGTGGGCTGGCTGGGCCTGGGGTCAGGACTGGGCCCCAGGGGACACCCTCTGTCCCTGTAGCTCATCTAAAGGAAAGCGCCATGCAGGGCTTTTCCTCCTCCTCCTCCTCCTCCTCCTCCTCCTCCTCCTCCTCCTCCTCCTCCTTCTCCTCCTCCTCTTCCACCTGAGTACTACAGATTGAACATGGGGGCACTCTCCCATTACTGTTAAGGTTCTCCCTGAAGGAGTCTGGGTCCCTGGGAAGCAGAGTTCTTCCTGAGTGTTGGATTTGTCTCAGGCAGGACGGATGGTGGAGAGGTTATGGACCCTCACCCTCACCCCCACCTTGCCCCAGGCTGACTGGGCTCAGGGCTTGGCCAAGCCTAGGACAACAGCTAAGCAGGGATGGGGGCAGGCAAAGAAAGCCAGCACTGTGCCTGAAGGCAGGGCTGCCACCCCCTACCCCTATCAAGACCTGCCAGGCGACAGGAGCTGGCTGAGCCTGGGGTCTCTTTGGCTGTATCTGCAGCATCAGAGGCAGACTGCCTTAGGGATGGGGATGGGTTATAGATGGAGGCACAGTGGGCTTTGGAATAACTTGACCCTGCTCTAGTCTAAGCTCCCCAGGGAGACAAGAGAGGCAGCAGACCCCCAGGGAGCTTAAAACAGCTGCCATGGGACCGCCACCCAAACTATGAGCCCCTACTCCCTATTGCAGCTTCAATCAGTGCATTCTGGGGACCTGTGCTGAGTCATACTCTACCTCAAAGGGACTTGCCAGTCCCAGGGGTGAGGAGATGGCCACACCCACAATGTTTCTGCATTTGGTGGTGGTAGAGAGGCTGCTGCCCCGACCCTGGAAAGGGGATGTCTTCAAGTCCAGAGCCCTATCTATCAGGCCCCCCCAAGATGTGTCCTCCTTACCCTGGTGGAGAATCGGGGTACAGCTCCCTGAGCACCGTGGCGTCCACGTCCCCATCAGAGCTGATGTCCAAGGGTGGGGGCCAGTCCTCTGTGGGGCTGCAGGCTGAGTGCATTCTGTGGCTGGGATGGCTGTCCGCGAGCCCGTCAGCAACTGCAGGGACAGACCAACAGCCGGGACCTCGGGCCAGGGCCAGGGCCAGGTCTGCCTGAGGCCACCAAACCTCTGACCTTCACATGACCATACAGAGCCACCAGTGTTCCAGCGGTGGCCCTGGGTGTGAGTGCTGTCACTGTGTTGAGCACAGGTCACAGAGCAGAAGCAGGGGGACCCTGTCCTGGGAACAGCCTCATCCTGGCCAGTGTGTCATGGGCTTTTACAGAGTCAGTAGGTGGGATGTGGGAGAAGAGAGAGGTAGAGCAGCCCGTGGGGTGGGAGGGAACGGCTGCCAGAAGGGCCAGAGGAAGAGGGGTGGCCTGAAAGGGGGGCCCCACAGTGTGCCAAGCAGGAAGATGAGAAAGGAGAGCCTTGATCCCAGCCAGGTCAGGAAGGAGGGCTGCAGAGATTTCTGGGTGCAGGCCTTCCTGCACTTCCGAGCCCAGTCACACCCCGTTCCTCTTAAGTAGGTGGGGAGGGTGTTCTGTGAGATGTGGGTAGACTCCGTTTCCTGCATTCTATTCTGTTTTTGTTTATTTAAAGACACATTAACATATTAAAGGCTCTGACAGGTCCTGCAGCTAAGCAGCACCTTTAATTGTGCTTATCCAGAATTGGACCACAGAACCTCCAATTTCTTACCTGATGCCTCTGCCCAAGGAATGCTGCTAGAGCACAATCTTCTCATTCTTCAGCTGAGGTTCAGAGGAGCCCAGTAACTTGCTTGAGGCCACACATTGGCTGGTAGGGCTAGCAGGCAGGGCTAGCAGGCAGCTGGCTGTCTTGGCACCTTGCTTTCTAAGCACTCTTACCCTCCGGTTTTGGTTAAGGCTGATCATGGCAGCTAAAGATGCCATGGCTTAGATTTGCACCGTCCCCACGTGAAAGGGCTCCTGGAAGATGCCTCTCCTCCAGGGCTGCAGCTCAGCATACAGCCCATTCTACCTACCAGGAGGCTGAGGCTCTGGGTTCGAGTGTGGAGATGAAATTGCAGCCCTGCATAACCTGAAACCTCTCCTCTCCCTTCATCTCCCTTCCACTGTGGATCTGACAGGAGTGGAAGAATCAGGCTATGGAACCACATGCAGGTCCAGCTCCAGGTTCTGTGTGGATGCAGAGAAAGCACCTAGAGCAAATATTCCCAGCACGTCCATGGGGGAGGCTCTGTCCAGATGGTGAGATCTTGACCCTTATTTTCTTCTGGATATTGCCTATATATTTAATGTTTTCTACAATGAAGATGTATTACTTTTCTACTAGGAAAAATGAACCCAGTAACTCATGCTGTAAAAATGAAGCTGGGAAGATTTGTTTCTCTTCAGCATGGATGATTTAGAGGGATGTGGGGAGGGAGCCTCTGGAAAGATGAGAGCAGGAAGCTGAGGTGGGGCGGCTGGGCTTTGGAGCCTGCACTGGCTGCTGAGAAGGGCACTGTCCTGGGGGAAGGCTCATCTGCGGGGTGGGGGGCTGCAGCTGCCAGCCAGGGACTCCTGGGAAGCCAGGGCTGCTTCTTGATCTGGTGGGGCCAAACCAAACTGCTGCTTACCCTCTCAGGCTGCTTTCTTTGGGGTCTTCCAGAAGCTGGGCATCTCTCAGAAACCTAGGCTGCCCTGAGGGGCTTGCCCAGCTGAGACCTCAATCTGCAGAGGACAAGTTCAGCCCCAGACCCCTTTCTGGGCAGAGCTCCTGGCAGGGGAAAACCAGCCCCTTCTCCAGATTTCTTTCCCATCCTGCACTCTTTCTGACTTAAAGTGGAGCTGAAGCAGACAGGAGCTGTCTCTCTGTCTGTCTCTGTCTCTGTCTCTCGTGTTTTTTGTATTTTAGGGAAGGGTCTACAGGGTGTTCAGGGTCTCACTACTAGATCAGACTCATAGTGATCCGCCTGTTTACAGCCTCCCAAGAGCTGGGATTACAGGTGCGCACCACCATGCCCAGTCTCAATTGCCCTCTCAGCATGTCCTGGGGGGTGGGGCCGGCATGACAGGCCTGGGAATCGAACCCCTGATCCCTGTGCCTGCTTGCAGGTGCTTTAATCCACTGAGGTATTTGGCCAGCCATTTTTTTTTTTTTTTTAAGGCCTCTCTTGATGTTCTTGATCTTTGCATCTTAAAAACAGAGTGGCTCCTTCCCCTCCCTCCTTATCTGCTGGCTCCTCTGTCAGGTCACGCTGCAGAAAAGCCCCTTGGGCAGAACAGAAGACTGACATTGTGCTGAGGACAACAGGAGCCAGGCAGGGCTGTGCAGCAGAGGACTAGTGCGGTGGAGCCTAGCCCTGGGGCAGTCTGCCTGGTGGTCAGACCCTGGAGTGCCAGGCTGGCTGCTGGCAGGAGGAAAGGCAGTGACCCACAGGCAGGTTTTTTTCAGGAGAGAAAATGATTCACAGCTATAGAGCATTGACTCATTACTCACTAACTTAATCTTCACAATAATTCCCCCACTCCCCCAGACCTGGGAACACAACCCAGGACCCTGCACTGAGCTACATCCCCAACCTATTATTTTTATATTTTGAGACAGGGTCCCGCTGAGTTGCCCAGGCTGGGCTCAACCTTGCAGTCTTCCTCAGTCTCCTAGAGTGCTGGAGTCACAGGCATGGGCCACCATGCCCAGCTCACAATAACTTTTTGAGGTGGAGGCTGATCACCCGGTTTTATGGATGGACCAGTTCATACAGAGAGGTTAGGCAGTTGTGCCCAAACTGGATGTAAAAAGTGGGAGAGGACGTGCATGGGACACCCTGAGTCTGAGGTGCCTGTGCTCTCAGTGTTCTAGGGACCCTGGCACAGAGCTTGGGAGCTGTGGGAGGGCAGAGAGGCTGATGGCTGGTGCTGACCCTGTAGGGTGGGTAGGATGGAGCAGGAAGTCAGTGAGTAGTACTGGGGCTGGGCTCTGACATGTAAGGGGCAGAAGAGAGGAATCTCTAAAAGTGTCTGAGAAGGAGCAGGAGAGACATGAGCCAGGAGCCCGTCAGGCAGAAGGAGGTCCTGCATTGACCCTCTGCTGTTGCCTGGTGCCTACAGTTGCCCCCTGCTCCCATTCTTGCAGCTTCCAGCTCCGGCAGTCCTTGGGTGTGCTGCTCCGGAAGCGAGTAAAGTGTGGGCTGGTGCTGCCTCCACTTCCCTGCCAGGGCCGAGTGGTGCCAGTGCTCGAGGAGCAGAGAACGGGGGTGGGCCAGGGAGGAGGAGCCCCACAGAGGGGGTCTCTGCCACTGGCTGCACTGCACTGTGAACCAACACTGTGAACAAAGGCCTGAGCTCCATTTGGCATGGCTGTGACCTCCAGTCACCCTGCCTGTGCTCAGGATCAGGACCTTGTTCATGTGGCCTTGGTCCGGAGGCTGCTGTAGTCCACAGAGAAGCTGGCCTGCCTGTTTTTTCCTTTGCAAGGCCAAGGCTGACCTTTGGAGCAATGGTGGCCCCTAGACTGGGTGCCTGTCGCGACTTGCTATGAGGGTGGAATGAGGTGGCACCTTCTCCTGTCCCTGGAGGACTCTTCTCTGGGTTGGGCCCTGGGCCCTGTGTGGAACTGGTCACGGAGTCACCAATGACAGAGGCTCTGAGGGAAGTGTGTGGACACAGCCAAGGACATGCAGGGGAGGTGAATTCTGACTCAACTGTTCCTGCTAGGGGTCAGCAGGGGTCACAGAAGCCCCCTACAGGAGGTGGCATTCGGCCTGGACCTGGATGGCTTTCATAGCTGAGGAAGGAAGGGGACAGCCACCTGGCAGAGGGCAGAGCAGGTACAAAGGGACTGCGGTAAAAGGGGATGGACAGGCACTTGGACAGGAGCTGAGAGTGCGGGGCAGGCCCAGGGGGAGGTGGACAGCAGGTCCTGGGTGGGTGGCTGAGGGTGGTGATGGCTCCTCCCGGGCAGGGGCCCTGGTCTTCCTGGTGACCCTTGAATGGGCCTGGCTGCGTCTGCTCCGGGCACTGCTCCTAGCTGGAGTGTGTGTGTGTGTGTGTGTGTGTGTGTGTGTGTATGTGTGTGTCTGTGTGTGGTGGTCCTTGGCTTCTGGGGAGATGGGTGTGACTGGATGGCTGAGCTGGGCACTTCCATTCCATTTATAAATTCTGGCTTTCTCTTTAGTCCCCAACAGCAGCAGACCATTAGCTAGCTGTCTTTCTTCCACTGAGGCCACTTGTCTCTCTGTGTCTTCAGGTCTGCCCCCTTGCTCTGCTCAAGCTTTTCCAGAGGAGGAGCAGCCAGGTGTGAAGGCGCCGGCCAGGGGTGTATCTGTGGATCCTGCCCGAGCTTGTCGGTAGGCAGCCCTCACCGACCCGCTCCCTCCCAGCCTTTCCTTCCCAGGGTGGTGATATCCGGTCCTCCCAAGCAGCTCCCATGGTGCAGCCAGGCTGGGATACAGGGGCTTACGTCTCAGATCTGCAGCTGGCTGGCTGGGTGATCCCTGAACTCCTGAACTCCTCCAACCTCTACTCCTGATCTGTAAATTGGGGTGTAAATTGATAAAAAATGGCTGCTCCTGGACCATGATGAGTATTCTGCCCAGAGATCCTGCACAGAAAGTGCTGGGTGCTTGCAAGTGCTTCTTACTCATGGCCTTTACCCCACGTCTCCACTCCCTGCTTGCTGGCTTTACTGCTGATAGGTGGAACGTCCCTAACCAGTTAACTCTGAGGGAAGAGGAAACTTCTAATTCCTGCTGGTTAACCTGGGAATTCTGGGAGGGAAGAGAGGTCTCTAAGTGTCCTGGGCTGGTTAGATCTAATTCAATCCATCTGCAAACAGTGCCTTTTCTTTTCTCCAGACTCGGAGTGGGAGAGAGCCTGCAGGTCTTGCCATGCATGCTTTGGCCTCCCAGGGGGCTCCAGTCACTTCATCTGCAGTGTGCAGGGCACTGCTGGGATTTTGCACTTCTTGACCTGCATGTCTTCGCTTACCTGCAGCGTGGCCTTGGCCCTGAGGTACAGCCTGGCAGGCTTGGCACAGGCTCCTGTTGGCAAGGGTCTGTCTTTTCTTGCCAGTAAAAATTGTCTGAGAATTGAATGCAACTGAGTTCTTCCCTGCTGTTTTTAGATAACTGATCCCTGACAGGATTGAGAGTCAGATGGCAGCATGCTGGCCAGATGGACAGTTCCAGGATTACTGCCTGAAGAATTAGCCACTGACTCTGTTTAGGGGTGGTGCTCCTAATTGAGAGACCTGCATATCATTTCTCCATACTTGCACTTTGCAGGCCCTTGGGGATAGACTTACCTACTGCTCATTGATCCATCCAATCTTCCATCCACTATTCAAATGCCACCTAATGCCAATCACTCTACCTACCCTCTGCTTTCCTGTCTATACACCTTTCATTTGCTACCTGCCCATCCCTTTTATCTTATTCATCCACCCTTCTAGTCATTCTTCCATCTGCCCATCCATCCATCCATCCATCCATCCATCCATCCATCCATCCATCCCCTCTATCCCCTCCACATCCATCCCCTTAATCCCTCACCCATCCTTTCCCCTACCAGTTCAGTCCCCATCTTCATTTATTCACTTATTCACCTACTATCCAACCCTCTCTCCATTGATCTCCCATTTTGGTACCAGCTGGGAAATCTGAAACACTCTTGCCCTGGGCTTCAGCCTCAGCTGGAGTCTTCTCTTGGTTGGCCACATGGGGTCTTTCATACTACTGAGCATACCATGCTGGGCACCTGGGAACTCTTTCTGATGACTGAGACCATATGGCACCTTCGCTGACCACCCAGTCCTCCTGAAGGCAAAGCAGGCCCCTCCCCATCGCCTCCCAGGTAAAGCCACAAGAGATACCCATCCCAGCTCCCCAGATGGGCAGCAGCTCACCGTGGCTGTGCTCGAAGTCTTGGTGTCGGCGTCGCCGACGGTGGTGGTGATGATGGTGCCGATGGTGGCGGTGGCGGTAGCGCTGAAGCCGGGCCTGCCTGTCCCTGCGGATGCTGCCCACGATGATGGTGATGCAGGAGAGGATGATGACCACGCCTATGACAGCACTCGCCACCAGCACAGGAGACACGAGCAGGTGACTGTGCTCCGAGCTCTCTGAGAATGTGGGATAGAAGTAGCTGGTGCGGTTGTATCGTGCTACTGTGGACAGACAGAGAGGGCTCTGAGCTGAGGCCCAGGCCCACCACAAACCTTTCTTCTCACTGCTGCTGCCCTCTGAGTCACTTGTCCTAAAATAAATGGAGGATAGTCTGGGGCCAGATCTACAGATTCTCTCCTGGCCACTCCTCTAGTGAGGAAAGAGCGGACCCCTGCTTCACCTTGTTGCCCGCAGGAATACCACCTCTCTTCTGCTCTGAAGCCTCTGTCCAGGAGGTCAACTAACTCATAGACAGGGAAAAGGAGACTTGGAGAGGGCAACAGAGTTGGCCAGGGCCACAGAGCAAATCAGTGGCCGTGCTGAGGCTAAATTCAAGGCCTGCAGCACTAGGTGAGCAGTCTAGTAGGATCTAAGGTTGACAGGACTTCACTATGGTGTTGAGAAGGGGCAGGAGATGCACAGAGGGGCAAGGATAAGGAGGCTAAAGGCCCGTATATTGGCCTTGCCTGAAGCCCAAACCCTTGCTTGCCGGTGTTCACCGAAGATGCTCCCCAGGGGAGGCACACACACACTTTTGGCTAGATATACACACTTCCTGGCTCTCTGATCTGAGGACGCCAGGTTAAGTGGACTTCTGGAATCAAAAACGAGAGCCAAAACCAGGCCCATTTCCAGAGCCCCTACTATGTGTAGACTTGGTTCTAAGATTCATTTCACCTTTGGAGGTACTTTCATCCTCTTCTCATCTTACAAGTAGAGACACTTAGGCTCAAGGATATCAGCTCACTCACCTGCAGTCATACAGCCAGTACAAGACTGAGGCAGGCCCCCTTGGGGCCTTGGTCTCTCTCCACTAGACCATCATCACATGTTGTGTAAGGAAGTGTTCTACTGCATAACAATAATAGCACAAAAAGAGGAAAGAAGGAATAGAGTTGCGGAAGAATGACTGGGCTAGCTTACTTCCCATTTGGATCAGGTTTGTATAACTAAGAAGTGATCTGAAAAGATACATCCGGTAAAGAGCAACCATTAAGAACATAACTCAAACAAGTATGGGGCTAAAAATCATTAAAGGGGGGCTGTGGAGATAGCTCAGTGGTCTAAGCACCTCTCCAGGCAAGTAGAAGGACCCGGATTCAATCCCTGGCACCACACGCTGTGCTGGCCTGGCATTAAGCCAGCCATCAAGGCTGGGTGTGGTGGTGCATGCCTGTAATCCCAGCGCTAGGGAAGCTGAGATAGGAGAATCTTTAGAGTGCGAGCTGCGTAGTGAGATCCTGTACCAAATACATAATAAAAAAAAAAAAATTCAAAAAGAAATCATTAAAGAAATGAAAGTGCAGCAAGTCCCTGACTCACAGACATGAGAGCTCATAGATGCAAAGGGGCCCCGCACTCTGAACATTCATCGACGTGAGCACGTCACGGAAGTAGCTCACGTCAGCCATGAGCCGGCTGCGCTGCTGCTCGCTGCTGTGCTTGGCAGCTGTGCACAGGAGCACGGCACAGCAGGGACTCACTGCCCTTCTATGGGTGTGTTCAGGTTTCTTTATGCTTTATGTTGTATATTTGTGTCAAATGCGTGGAAGACTCACTTCGTCAGACTCATGAATGAATCCAACTGACTAATGTGCTCCCAGAATGGAACTTGTTCCGAAGTCGGGGGCTTTCTGTATTACCCTAGAAAATGTTCACCTAAAGTGAAAAGGGGAACTGGAAGAACATAAAAAACACATGAGACAGATACAGGGTTTAAGATAAAAGAGCAGACACAAATCTGACTTTGTCAATATTTCTGTCAAATGAGAGCCTATTAAGCAAGCCAATTAAAGGCCGAGATTGGCAGCCTAGGGAAAACCACGATCCAACCATGTCCCGCCTACAGTAGTCTCACTTGGGAACCAAAGCTGAAGTGAAAGGATGGGAAGATATCTACTGTGTAGATATGATTAGAAGAAAGCTGGAGTGGCCATAAAAATAGTAGGAGAAAAAAAATACATTTTAAGACAGAAAGTGTCATAAGGATAAGAGGGTCATTTTATAATGATAAAGGGTTAATTCATTAGAAAGCCTCATAATTATACACATATATGCACTTAAGAACAGAGTTCCAAAATATGTTAACGAAGGCTAACCAATTGAGATGAAATATAGATAACACAATAGTAACAGCTGGAGACTTTAACACTACAGTTTACTTTATCTTTATTTTTTTGATACAGGGTCTTGCTTTGCAGTTCAGACTCCTAGTGATCCTCCTGTCTCAGCCTCTTCAGTGCTGGGATTACAGGTGTGCATCACCATGCCCAGTTTTGAGGCTGGCACAGTATGTGGTACCAGGGATCAAACTGGGGTCCTTGTGCTTGAGACCGCCAAGCTCTCTCTTGACCCCTTTTTTTCTGTCTTTTGGAGACAGGGTCTCCCTATGCTGTTCAGGCTGGCCTTGAGCTCACTTTGTAGCCCAGCCTGGTCTCAATCTCAAAATGATTATCCTGCCTCAGCCTCCTGAGTGCTGTGATTACAGGTGAGTGCCACCAAGCCCAGCTAATCCACTTTCAATTAGGTATATAAAAACCAGACGGAAGACACAGAAGGAAATAGAAAACTTAAATGACATTATGCATGAATTAGACTTAATAGACAGCCACAGAATGCTTTGACACCAACAGTGAAATATATGTTTTTCCTAAGCACACATGGAATGTTTTTCAGATCAGGCCATATGCTAGGCCATGCAATGAATCCCAACAGATTTTAAATGATTGGCATATATTAAGTATGTTTTTGATCACAATGAAGTGAAACTAGCAATTATTAATAGAAACTTGTGAAAATTTTACAAATACATAGAAATAAAACATTGCAGTAATTAATAACCAGTGAGTCAAACAGAAAATCATAAGGGAAATTTAAAAAATACTTTGATATGAATTAAAAGGAATACACATCACACCAAAGCTTGTGAGATGCCGCAAAAGCAAGGTTCAGAGTGATATTTGTAGCTGTAAATGTCTACATTTAAAAAAGAATAAAAGATCTCTGATCAACAAATCATCTTTTACCTTCAGATACTGGAAAAGAAGAGCAACTCAAAATCTAAGCAAGAACAGGGAACAAAGAAATAAAGATTGAAGTGGAATTGATAAATAGAAAAGAAAAATGTAGAGAAAAATCAGTGAATTAAAAGGTCAGCTCTAACTTATGCCAGAAAGAATGGCTATCATCAAGAAGTCAATCAATAACAAATGCTGGAGAGGCTCTGGGGGATAAAAGAACCCTTCTTACTGTTGGTGGGAGTGCCGACTGGTACAACCACTATGGAAATCACTGTGGAGTTTCCTGAAAAACTAGGATTGAAGGTCCCACTCAGTCCAGCTAGTCTCCTTGGTATTTTCCCCAAAGAACTGAAATCATCATACCACAGCGATATATGTGCACTTATGTTTATAGCAGAACTATTTGTCACAGCTAAATCTTGGAAACATCCCAAATGCTCATCAACTGAGGAATGGATAAAAAAGATGTGGTATTTTTACACAATGGAGTATTACTCAGCTTTAAAAAAGATAAATTTGAGGCTTTTGTGAACAAATGGATCCAACTAGAAACTGCATTGGTAAGTGAAATAAATCGGACTCATGTGTGCAAACATTATATTCTCATTAGTGTGAAAACCTGAAAGAGTAAGTATTTTTTGAAAAGTATAACATCCTGTGGAAGGGAAAGAATTTGTTCAGTGGGACGAAAAAACTGGGATGAGCATAAGGACACAAGAAAGAAGGGAAAAAGTTATTTATGTATATATATGCAAGATAATTTGGGTAGTTGTACTGCCAATTTCTGCTGGTCTTTTGAAAGGAGAAGTTAATGCTTAAATTTCTTTTCTTTTTTTAAAATTTCTTTTCTTTTTATTACTATTTTTCTTTTTAATTTCTTATAAAGAAAAACAATTTTGCATGACTATATCTGGTAACCTAAACAACTAATTAGAAGAAAACTTCACAAACTACAGCAGTCATTGTTGAATTCCTGTTACTTTGTTTAGTGAAATTTTTAAAAAATGTATTTGGTACAGGATCTACAGGGTCTACAGGATGTACAGGATGTACAGGTTCTCACTATGTAGATTGGACTCATAGTGATTCTCCTGTTTTCAGCCTCCCAAGTGCTGGGATTACAGGTGTGTGCCACCACACCCATTCTCAATCACTGTCTCACTATCATGCGGGGCCGGCATGGCACACAGGGGATTGAACCCCAGCTGCTGCCTCTGCCTAAAGAGTGCTTAGTGAAATTTGGCATTATTTCTTTCTTTTTCTTTTTTTTTTTTTTCAAAATTTTATTGATAAACAGATAGCAATGAGACAGTTTCAAATCATGGCATTATTTCTAATGCTGGTTTTTAAATTACTATTTTGTATTTTTTTTTAAAAGGTCAGTTCTTTCAAAATGCTAAAATGGAAACAAAATCACATCTTTCTTGAATGACCAAGATATGAAGTTAGTAGAGAGAATACTCACAGTACCAAGTAGAGAGAATACTCACAGTACTAACAGAGAGAATACTCAAAGTACCAAGACTGGAAATGAAAGTGGGGGCACTAACATAGACCTTATAGAAATACGAATTGCCAAGGCCTACTACGAAGAATGAAATGCCCATAAATTGGGCAACTGCAGTGAAATGTAGAAATATATGGATATATACAAAACCTAGCAAATGAACTCAAGACAAAACAGAAGTTGTGAATAAATCTATAACCAATACAGAGACTGAATTAATAATAATTCAAAAATTTCCCAAAGAAAAGTCCAGTGTCACATGGCTTCACTGTATGTTAGGTCAAGTCTACCTATCATTTAAAGAAGAAAAAAAATATCTGTAAGAGGGATAGAATTTCAGTTTCAGAAGATGAAGAAAGTTCCAGAGACAGATGGTGTGAATGGTTTAAAACAACATGGATGTACTTAATGCCACCAAACTGGACACTTAAAATGGCTTAAAAGAATAAAATTATGTTTATGTATTTTTACCCAA